ATAAGAATAAACTAAATAAAAGTGATCTTTTTACTCGTTCTTGCAACATTTGTTATTTTTTGAGAGGTGAAAAATAATGGGGCCAAAGTTGTGTTCACTCTTTCAAAGTATTTTAGTCAATAAAAACATATTTTGTTATTAAGAATTGAGAGCCAACCGGTGATTTTCCAATTAATTTCCTCAATCTTTTTCTGCCAGTTCCTTTACCCAGTCTAGGTACAGGGCAACATTAGTGTAGACAGTACCAGAGCGACAGTGGCTATCGGTGATGAAGCTGGCAATGCCAAACTGCAGAACAGTTTTATCTTCACCACGAACCGGGCAGATTAGTGGGCTTCCTGTGTGTGTGAAAATGATTATTTAAGATTGGAAAAAATTTTGAAAGCATTTTCTAAGTCTACCCGAGTCTCCAAAGCAGCCACTGCCCTTCGGTGAGTCAATGTGATAGTGCATGTTCTTTTCTCCGTGCGGGTTAAACTTGCTCGTCTTTTCTGCCGCAAACTTCAGTTCTTGCAACTGTTTTGGAAGATCGCCGGTTTCGGTTTTTCCCCAGCCAATCACCACGCACTCTGCCCCCACTGGAGACAGACTAGGCGTTGGAAGGCAGCTTTTCATTACCTGAAATGAAATCATTTGAAAGGTTTGTAAAACAAACTAAAAACAGTTTGGCCAAATACCTTCTTTTTGCCAAACTTTTTAAAGTCAATTGGTCGATTGAGTTTGATGATGGCAATGTCCGGCGTTTTGTCCGGATGGCCGTTCCACTTTGGGTGCACCACTGCCTTCACTGCGTGGAAGGTGTTCTCCGCGTTCATGTTGGCGATGTTGTGTCCGCCGACGTAGATGCGCACACCGCTCACCTCTTGTCCATCCACACAGTGAGCGGCGGTGAGGATGGTGTTGTCGTTGAGCACTGAACCACCGCAGAAGTGGCTCGACCCAAGAAAGTCTACGCCGGGAATGTTCAGCTGCTGCAGTGAGACGATGAAGGGGTACTTGCCCTCGGGCACGTCGTGGCCGTTGATCACACGGCCTGAGTCCTCGGTGTTTGCGTGGGCTGAGCTGATAAGGAGAAAAGTTGAGAGGAAGCAATTGCCGAGCTTCCAAATGAGTAGCTCAATTTTTGTCATTTTTGTTTACAAAAAGTATTTTTTTAAAACTTGATTGACTGTGAAGCCCTTTTTACACTGTCAATTACATTTTGAGTTCCACAGCAACCACGCAAATGCTACGTTTGCTTTTTCTTTTAAATGTCAACTAATTATGCCCTTTTTCTCTCTATACTTTGCAGTCCTCAACGAAAGCGAAGAGGTGAACGTTTTGCTGGAAAAGTCCACACAGAGAACCATTGAAACTATAGTCGATCAGCTGATCATTCGCCAAAGAAGTCGACTAGTACACCGAGCTATTGAAGAGGCGGCAGCAGCCGCGGGAGGCAGTACTACTGTTGTTGATGGCAATGGCAATGGCAATCGGAAATTGGCTGCCATCACTGCGACCACCACAAACTCTACCAACAATACAGCAAGTGCTACTACATTCCAACAACAACAGCAACAACAACAACAACAGCAAACCCTGCAAATACTTTCTCCGAGCATTGGAGAGCAGCTTCAACAGCAGCAGCAGCAGCAGCAGCAGCAGCAGCAGCAGCAGCAGCAGCAGCAAATCATTCGACCCAAGCTGATGATGATGGACACCAGTGCAGTCCAGGTCACTGCAACTGGTCATGCAGGGCTGAAGAAGCTCGATGATGTAAACGGCGGTGGAGGCGGCATTGACGTGAATGGCAACAACAGCAACTCGTCTTCAAAGACGATTGCACATCAGCAGCAGCAACCGGCGGTAAGTGAACACGAGAATGATTGATTGGTTACTGCGATTCACAAATTTTGAGTCAAACTCAGTGGTTATGTACACTTTTTAATGTGTAAAGCTTTTCTTTCGATAATTTGTTGCTAAAGCTGGGAAAACTGTGACCAAATTATCTTTTGCAACAGAGCTTTGTGTTTGTTGCAGCCATAAATAAGCCTAGTGTGATGGCGGTGGTGGTGGTCGCAAATTGTCCTCAATTGAAGCTGAGATTTTAATTGAACTTTTCCTAGAAGAAAGAAAGAGAAAAGCGAAAGCGAGTGATTTCATCTGCTGACCAAATGTAATCGACTTAATTGAATTTTCGCATTACACAGCACAGCATGAAGAGGAAGAGAATTCGCTGTAGCTGTAGTCGTATAGTCATCATTTACAACGACAGTCTCCTCTCATTCTCATTCTCCTTTTCCTTTTTTTTCTTCTGCCAACTAATCTGTGTCAGTGTTCAGTGGTGACAATTTATAGTGCATCATTACAAGGGAGAATCTGCCAGCCAGCCATCCAGCCAGCATGTTTCTCCCGCTAAATTGCCTGTACTTGTCAATGTTTGGAACGTCAAAGTCAGAATGTGGCTGGTGTTGTTGACTACTAACTCAACATATTATTATTATTTGCAACTTTCCGGCGGCAGTGCAGTTTATTGCGCTGGCTCAGAATTAGCAGTGCTAGGATAAGCTGAAATTACTGCATTTTTTAATGCACTGAACCTTACTATGCCAATTCAAGACTGAAGTATGATTTGTAGATGATAGTTTTGATGGAGTTTTTGCAAATATTTTGTTTTTTTCACAGTTTGCTAATGTCTTTTCAGTGAAACGTCTTTTGTAATGTTTTTAAACTGACCAAAAGATACCAACTGATGCCATTTAAAAATCCATTTTGTTTTGTAATATCAAAAAAGATATTTGGTCCTTTTCTTCATTTTTTCTCAATCAATTGGGCAGATATAAAAAAGAACAATGGAAAAATTAAACCAGCCGAGTGCAGTAAATTTTTGTTCACTTTTCTTTTTATTCTTCTTTCTTTTTCCTTTCCTCCATTGGGTATCCAATTTTCAGCAAGCCTGGTGGTCATAATAATAATAAAGCGAAAATATAGAAGTAGTATTTTTATTTATTGTTCCTAGAAGCCTGCTGCAGCTNTCCTCCATTGGGTATCCAATTTTCAGCAAGCCTGGTGGTCATAATAATAATAAAGCGAGAATATAGAAGTAGTATTTTTATTTATTGTTCCTAGAAGCCTGCTGCAGCTCAATTTGGCGGCAATGAAAAGGAATGGAAAGTGAAGAAAAAAGACAGCATAGAATGAAGAGATAGGACTAGCCTCTTTTTATGGGAGTTGAGGGTACTGAAATGGGGCTGTAGAAGTAGGCAAAGTCAGTTTTACTGTGATAGACAGACAGTTTCTTTTTGTTGTTTTTGCTTAAGGAAAAGAAATTGAGAACACAAGGCCATTTGAGATGGGGGAGAAGGCTACAACTCAAACTGCTCTACTGTGTTGTTGACGTTGTAAAGGGTGGCTAGTTGATAGCAGGACTACAATTGATGATAACGATCAGAGCTGGTGCTGGGGAAAGTGGTGACTAAACATTGGTAAAGACTCCAAGGAGAATGTGTCATCTGCTTACGGAGCATGCACTTCACTGACGCACTTAATGATCAGACTTTTTTCTGGTTACTCTAGCTTATTGCTGTAGTCAGGCTAATCGGCGGCTTTTTTACGAGAAACAAAAAAGTGTAGATAACTGTCTTTAGCTGTAGAAAGTTCATTTCAAAATTGAACTTTTTAAAAATCTTTAGGATTACTTGTTTTAGTGATTACTACTGTTTCTTGTGACATTTTAATTACAGTGCTCACTGCAAAATAATTGCAATATGTGTGTGTGTAATAAGTATTTTTGTTTAAACTTTTAAAACCCGTAATATTTTTGCAAATAACCGCTGTTTTGTGACATATTTTTGTTGTGTGTGCTATAATTTATCTTTTCAAAGGGAGTGTCCAATTTTTAGAGTTGTCTCGCTCATCAAGCTCAATGTCAAATTTTTATTTTTACTAGAAAAATGAAATGACATAATTTACTACAACGACCTTAAATTAGATTTTTCAAAGTCAAGTTTTAAATAATAAGAAGTTATCAGATTTTTAGTCAGTGAAAAAATGTTGTATTTGTATTTAGAAAAAAGTAATGTTTTAGCATAAAAACATTTTACTTTTAAACTAAATTATTAGTTTATCCACAAAAAAATTATTTGCAACAAAAAGTAGTTAAAAGTAACGTTTTAATTAAGATTTCACATAGTAAAAACGATTTTTTTACTTTTTTTGGAATAAAGTTATCCCTGTAATCATTTTCTGGGTTACGTAGCAGATTAAATAATTGAGTACAAGCAACTACAAACGCAGCATCTAAAGTGAAACAGAAAATGAGTTCAAAGGAATTTAGAAGAGATTTGAAGTCTATGTTTAAAAGCAGCTTTTGTGCTAATTTATGCAGAGTAGTGCACAGAAATATACACAAATGCGAGCATGTGTCATCTAAACTGTAGGTTTTGTAAAGGGGGGAAGCCAACAGAATGAAAGAAAAAGAAAAAATTTTGACACAATTGGAAAGCCTTGAAAATGGCCGCGTAATTAACAGCAGCAAAAAAACATATGGCTAGAGTTGCGGGCAGACAGACAGAGAGACAGGCTAGCGGTTTAATTGTCTGTGTAAATTTAATTATATTTTACGTGCTTCTCAATCCGGGGGTGGTTGTGTGCTAGGGAATGGGGATGACAAGAAAATGATCAAAAAGGGTTTCAGCGCGTGTTTCAAGTGGGACTTGCTGCCGTCGTTGGTACTGCAGCTCTTCAGCAACTACACTGCCTTTTCCTCTTTATTTGCTGTAGTTTCCCCCTCACCTCCCCTAGCTTCTACCCCAGCACTACACTTCTCTGCTGACTAATTCGATCATTTACTGTCTCGGTATGTGTACACACATAGACATTCATATATTCTGGCACTGCTCACTCGCTTAATGTGTGCGCTTCGATTAGCGATTTGATTTATGGCTTTTGGGTGTGTCACCCTAGAACACGGAGCTGAGAAGGCAGAAGGGAGAGAGCGAGGATATAAAAAGGGGAAACAGTTTGTTGGATCTATGTTGGTAGTGCTGCAGTCTCATGCAAAGCTATTTGCTTGTCGTAGTTGCAGTAGTAGTAGTTGTAGTAGTAGTAGTAGAGGGGGCCAAAGTTGCCCCCTTTTTTTTGTGCCAAAAAAGTCTGTCACTCAGTCACTCTGTTTTTTGTCTGCCTCCCTGCTTCCCCAGTCAGGCCATTTGTCTGTCTGCCTCACTTCTGTCTGTCTGCCAGACCGAAAGAGGCAATTTGGCAAAAGCTCTACCAAAAGGGCCAGCAATAGAGCAGCATTTAGGATAGTCAGCTGTGATCTCAATTCACTCTCTCTTTCTGTCTGTGTGATTGAATTTGGTGCCATTCTCCGTCTCAGTGTGTGATTTATTTGTCACTGCACTGCACAGCATTTGCGACAGCCTATTTGCAGTGAGTCGATAATTGCCAATTGCACAATTGGCGGTCGTGGTGGTGGTGGTGATGACTGTGGTCGTAGTGGCTGTGATGCTGTTGCTAAAATGAGGACACTCTGAAGGTTTATTGCATCTGATGACAGCCATACTGACATGCTGTGTTTGCTGATATTGACTTTCCCTTTTCCTCCCCTCTTGCGTTTTAACGGTCATCAGACTGGCTCCAAAGTGGTCAAGCATTAGCTATTTGCGGTATTGCTTACACACACACCTTGCGAACAGTTTTGATAAATGAACGGTCATTGTGGTGTTTAATGCGTGGTGTGGACAAAGTGCGCTCAAGTGTGCCCCGCCATTAGTAATTGCGCCCGACGAGGGCAATTGAGACGGCAATCGAATGTGGTACTGNTTATTTGCGGTATTGCTTACACACACACACACCTTGCGAACAGTTTTGATAAATGAACGGTCATTGTGGTGTTTAATGCGTGGTGTGGACAAAGTGCGCTCAAGTGTGCCCCGCCATTAGTAATTGCGCCCGACGAGGGCAATTGAGACGGCAATCGAATGTGGTACTGGTAGGTAAAGTGAAGTGAGCAATGAAAGCAGTGAAAGGAGGATTGAAATTCAATATACTTCCCATTTATTATCATTAAAACCGTACCTCTCAATTATTAGTTTTGTGGCGATTACTGATTTATTCCTTTTTTCCCCATTAATTTTTAGACTACACTTCAACTTCTTCAGCTAACCACCCAAGCAAGTACTGGTGGCGGTGGTCAGATGACTGAGCACAACTCCAACTCGCCCACTGGAAACGGTCTTNGGCACTGGTTGTGGTGGTGGTCAGATGAGCTCTGAGCACAACTCCAACTCGCCCACTGGAAACGGTCTCAACAATAATGCANTAACAGTAATGCAAACAACAACAACACCAACTCGAGCACCATAAGCTCCAACGCAGCAGCAGCCGGAACTGCATCGCTCATACTGAACCTCTCACAACTGCAGGCAGCGGCCTCTGCTGCCGGCCACCAGAGCTTCTTTATACTGCAGAACACCACGACGACAATGGGCGGCAGTGGACCTCACGGCCAGCACGGCCAAGGCCACAACCACCACCTTCAGCAGCAGCACCAACATCTGCAGCAGCATCTGACGCTGGCACATCAGCAGCAACCGGCGAATGCACATCATCAGA